CATTATGTAAAGGCACAATTCCCAATGAGAAATGTAATTGTGTTGTATACCTACAATGTACCGATAAAAGAATTTAATACAAAAAAAAAACAAGAAAGAGAAAGATCCACAAAAGCAGTGAAAAGTGGAAAAAGTTTGAAAGAAGGACAAGACACTGCAGAATCAGCAAATTTCCAGCAGAAAAAGCAGCGCTGTGGCTGTCCAGTCTGCCACGTGTACTAAAATAAAAGCACCATGGCAAAGAAAGACAAAGGGCAGAATTCATCACGGTTTAATGCCAGTAGTAATAGAGAACTGCAAAAGCTACCATCTCTGAAAGATGTTCCTCCTGCCTATCAAGAGAAGCTTTTTACCCAGAAGTTGCGTCAGTGTTGCGTCCTCTTTGACTTTGTTCCTGACACATTGAGTGACCCCATGTGGAAGGAAGCGAACGAGCTGCTTTAAGTAAAATGATTGCATACATCACCCATGATCGGAATGTGGGCAGAGAGCCTGTTTATCCAGAAGTAGTCCACGTGTTTGCAGTTACCATGTTCTGGACATTGCCGCCTTCCTCCAACACTATGGGAGCGGGAGCAGAATTTGACCCCGAGGAAGATGAGCCATCGTTAGAAGCAGCCTGGTCTCATCTGCAGCTTGTTCATGAATTTTTCTTAGGATTTTTAGAGTCTCCAGATTTCCAGCCTAATATAGCAAAGAAGTATATTGATCAGAAGTTCGTGTTGCAGTTTTTAGAGCTCTTTGACAGTGAGGATCCTCCAGAGAGATTTTCTTAAAATCACCCTTCACAGAATCTGTGGGAAGTTCCTAGGCCTGAGAGCTTATATCAGGAAACAGATAAATAATATATTTTATAGTTTTATTTATGAAACAGAGCATCACAACCGCATAGCAGAATTACCAGAAATATTGGGAAGTATAATTAATGGATTTGCCTTACCACTAAAAGAAGAGCACAAGATTTTCTTATTGAAGGTGTTACTGCCTTTGCACAAGGTGAAATCACTTGAGTGTCTGTCACCTCCAGGTGGCCAGGTACTGTGTCCTGCAGTTTCTGGAGAAGGACAGCACCCTCACTGAGCCAGTGGTCGTGGCACTTCTCAAGTACTGGCCAAAGACCCACAGTCCAAAAGAAGTAATGTTCTTAGATGAATTAGAAGAAGTCTTAGATGTTATCGAGCCATCCGGATTCATGAAGATCATGGAACCTCATTTCCGGCAGTAGCCAAATGTATTTCCAGCCCACACTTCCAGGGGGTAGAGCGAGTGCTGTATTACTGGAACAGTGAACACATTATGAGCTTAATCAGTAAGGAGGCAGCAAAGATCCTGCCCATTGTGTTTCCATCCCTGTGCAGCGACTCCAAGATCCAGTGGAACAAGACAATACATGGCTTGATGTACAATGCCCTGAAACTCTTCGTGGAAATGAACCGAAACCTATTTGATGATGGCACACAACAGTTTAAAGCAGAGAAACTGAAAGAGAAACTAAAGATGAAAGAACGAGAAGCATGGGTTAAAATAGAAAACCTAGCCAAAGCGAATCCCCAGGCACAGAAAGGTCCGAAGAAGGACCGAGCTGCCTCAGGACCCCCCCCACCAAGAAAGGCCTGGAAGCTCACTGCAGAGCCGATGACTTGGTCTTGCAGGGTGGCACTAGCCTTGGGGCGGTGGCCGACCTGGCTGCTCCTGGTTCTGTAGAAAGTCCATTCTGTCTGCGCCGTACCATCAGTCACACTCAGAGTCAGAGTTTCCTCCAGCCCCGTTCTGTAGGCAATAACGCATGTCTGCCTCAGCTCAGATTAGGAGTTCAAACAATGGTGGCTTCTCGGACCCTGGCAGCCAAGCTAGTGGATGGCGGTATTCTCACCGTGTCCTCACTGTCCCAGCATGGTGCTAAGTAAGCCTGTTTCCCAAAATCAGAGCTCTAGGAAAGCACCCTGGTCCTCATCTTCATGTTCTACCCAAATGGAATCTGTGCTCCTTTAAAATAGGTGGTTCTAAATAACATCGGTGTTTTTCAAATCAGAGGAACAGTTTTAAAAAGTATTGCCTATTTTTTAAGACTTTACAACCTTTGAAATTGTTTCTATGTGATTGTCATACCTGCAGTTTTTGTTTAGTCTCATAGAAATGGCTCTTGCTTTCATGTTGTCACAGCCTTCTGGGAAGTGATGTGACAGTCAGCAGCCGCTGCACCTGTGAGGTGTCCTTTACTGTGGTCAGCGGCGTGTGCGCCATGTCCTACTTCTCTTACATTTACCAAAAGCCATATTTCTGGGTCTGCAGTACAGCACCAGGGTTCCAAGAATAAGCTCGTAGAAGAGTTTATGTATTTATTTTTTTGGTACCAGGGGATTGAACTCGAGTCCTTCCGCTTGCGAGGCAGGTGGTGGAAGCACTGAGCTAAATCCCTGGCCCAAGAAGCATTTATTTTTAAAAGCTTTCTCTATCTACTTTGACTGGAATTGGAGTTGTAAAATTGTGTGTTCATATTTTTATTCAGAGAACGAACTTTCATGTCCTTACACCGTTACCTTTCAACAAGGCTCCTAAATTAATAAAAGTATAGTCTAAGAACTTCGCATTTTGTGGAGAGTTAGGGCAAGATCATTTTGAGCTAAGCCAGTTCTTGGCCTGATGCAGACTGCAGATGCTTTGGGGTGGAAAGTGGCAGAAACAGCCCCATGGGCCCCAGGGGCCCTGCTGTGACAAGGCTTGGAGGAACCTTGGGGGATGGTGCTGAGCGAGCCTCCCTGTGAGGAAGCGCACATGGCCCCAACCTCACGAGGAAACAGTGTCTGAGTTTTCATCGGTCTTCAAATGCTGCTATATATTTCACAGACTCCCTGCGTGGATTAAGCTTTTGTTTTAGATAGAGTAGCATGAGGAGAAAACCCTTTAAACTTAGTGCTTTGTCTACTCTTCATTTCTCTCAGGGTGGCCAGTATTTTGACTTATTTATCCTGCTTGAAAGCTACTTGAGATATGTACTGCTATTCTAAACAGTGACTAGTTTCTTTTGTCTCTGGCATATATATAATGTAACATTAAATGTCCTGATGCGTAAGAGATAAAACGTGGCTTCTTTTAGGATCTGATTTTTATTCGTGGTCTCGGGTATCCATGAAAAGGTTGTGAAAATCAGACATTGCTCCTTGTGCAGCTGCAGCGCCTGCTGCTGGGGTTTCTGTAGGTTCACTGACGACATCGCTTATTTGCTTGTTTCCTGGAGGAAACTCAGCTCCGGGAGGGGATTGCCATGGCGAGAGCAGAGCAAGCATGAAAGGAAAGCATTGCCCAGTGGAGGTGGACCAGTCAGTCCACTTGGTGAGGAGAACTTCCTGAGAAACTTGACAGTAGCTGTCCATTGTACCATTATGAAACCTGATTTTAAAAGGTTTAGATGCATTCTCCTTTTGAAGGCAAAAGGTTGCTTTTTATTGTATAAAGCAGCATCTTCTGTATTTTGATATACCATTGTTTGAACTTCTGTCCTTAGTGGTAGGTTCTCAGATGTCCCTGACCTGGATGTCCAGTGTGTTGGTGAGAGGTTTCCGGGAAGCCTGTCCTTCTGCCCTCGGAAAAAGCAAGCTGTTGGTATGGGGTGACTGTGTAATGCTCCACCTGTCAGAACACCTTTCATTGGTCTAGGTTTTATTTCTGCTCGTTATTGAGGACAGACATTCACCAATAAGGGAAAAGGAAAAACAGCTTTGAGAGAAACTCATTTTCTTTGACAAGAGTATTACTCTTTTGGCTTATTAAAATTTCCTCCTTAATACTCAGATTCCCTGTGTTGATTGTTCGACTTCCATGTTATTAGAGAGAGACACTGTTTACTCTGTACCAAACTGACCTCAGAAGTACTGCATTGAAAATAAACTGGTGACTCTTTTTCTTCATAAAGTCCCATGTGGTATCTTCACTCTTTCCCAATGCATCTGTACACCAGAAATGTCACACTTCCCAGGGCCTTTTTACCATAGGTTTACTATGGCTTCCTTTTAATACTGTACATACATTGTATTTTTGTTTTATGGTACTAAGTAATAAAAATATAGACTTCATATTTTGTACAAAATGTCCTTTGTACAGAATAAAAAATTTCATAGAGACAGCAAAAAAAGGAAAACAAAATTTATAGTTTGTCTAACCGTAAAGTATTTAATATAGTATTTATCAAAGAATCTATCCATAATTTATATGTTTCTTAAAAGAAATTGTTATACATTTCAGAATTATTGGTGACTTGGAAATCGAATAAGGAATTCTTACCAAAGTGATTTTTAAAACATTTTACAAAACAGAGAATTGAACCTTTCTGACTGAGTTTCATCCCTGTCCCTTTCTAAGTTTTTATTTTGAGCCAGAATCTTAGTAATAGATAAGTTGCCCAGGCTCAGCTCAAACTAGTAATTTTCCTGTTTCGGCCTTCCAAAATGGTGAGATTACAAGTATACCACCATACCCAACTCAAAGTAAACTTTTAAAAATGAATTTAACGGGAGAAAAATTTTTCCAGCTATTAACCTGACACAGGATGATTATCCAGAAAATCTGAAGAATTCAAAAAACCTGACACTAAATCAATAAGTAATCAGATAAATCAATAAATGGACAACTGAGCTGAACAGACAATTTTCAAAAGAGGAAATATAGATGGCCAATAAATACAAGAAAAAATGCTCAACTTCTTTAAACTTCAGGGAAATGCAAATTAAACCTGGATTGAGCTTCCATTTCACCCCCATCAGAATAACTTTTATCTAGAAAACAAAAAAAGGATATCAGATTCTGGCAAACCCATGGGGAAAATGGAATCATTTTGCACTGTTGGTAGTAACAAATTAGTATATCCACTGTGAAAAAGGGTATCAGGTTCCTCAAAACCCTAAAAATGGAACTAAATATGATCCAACTCTACCACTCTATGATATATACCTAAAAGAGTGCGAGTCATCACACGATAGCAATAGCTGCATATCCTTGTTTATTTTAGCACAACTTACAAAAGCTAAGAAATGGAAATAGAATCAGCCTAGGTGTCCATCAGTGAATGAAAGGATAAAGAATGATTATTAATGAGCCAAAAAGAAGAAAAGCAGATAATCTGCAGGGTAATGAATACAAGTGGAGAGTATCATGCTAAGTGAAATGAGCTATACTCAGACGAGTATACTGTTTCATCTTATATGAGGAATGGAGGGGATGAATACACATAAAGGAGAAGGGGAACTATTAGGAATGGGGAAAGAACCAAGGGAAACGAGACAGAATAAGAAAGGCTAATAGGGTGGATAAGTTCAAAGTATATTAAATCCATGTATGAAAATGTCATTATGAAACCCATTATTTTGAACAGTTAATATCCACTAATTATAATTTCTAAAAAGAATAAAAACTAAGTCAGTTTGTAAGACTGGAAGAGAAACCCTATATTTTCATCCTCTTTGGGAGCTTTAGCCAAGAGCAGAAAGTTAAATATTCTGTCATTACTGCCATTAAAGTCTTGAAGAAATTCTGAATAATGTCTCTGAGCGACAGGATAATCAACCTCAGGCTGTTTGGTTTTTAGCAGAACTAATGGATGAATCATGATCACAGGGGGCTTTAAATGCTAATTATTAACACTGTCTTCAGGTGACTTTATTTGATTCAGCAAAATTAACATTCTTCTTTCCTACTGAATATCAAGAACTGATCTCACTGTGTAACTATGAGTCCTCCCACCCCAGGTGTCATGAGGTCTCTTTTTCTCGCAGTATGAGAAGATTCTCCTTTCTCTATTTCCATATTACCAGCCCATCTTCTCTTGATGAATTCAAGAAAGGTCTGCAGATGATGTATTTCCTTATTCAAGTATAACAAGCACAACTGCTTTTCTGATTAGTTCAGAAAGTGAACTGTGATGGGTCCCAAGTCTCCAATTACTGCCATTCTCTGACTTTTCTCCTTTGACTACATGCTATTCCTATAGCACTGGTGGACTGTCTTCCTAGGGAGACATACAGATGACTTCTCTGGCATTCTAAGTTATCATCCAGACCCTCATGGCCCTTGCTTGCATTGCAGGGCCTTCATTTATCTCACGGCAAGTGCCACTGCCACGTATGACCTGGTCTCCAGCTCTGTACAGTGCCTCCAAAACCCTGTCCCTGATCATAAAAAGCCCACCTCCCTAGGTTGAGTGTTTTCACATCCTCCTTTCTTTATTTTCTCTTTATTTTCAGGGACCATGTGGCTTAAGGTCCCACAATCAAAGACTCTCTATATTATAAGGGGACTGTAAGAAGGTATTAAGGAAACTGTGCCTGTAGAAGCAATCCTGGTTTCTCTTACTTGTACTGTGAGCTCCAAGAGATAACTCATTGCCAAAGATATTAACACCAGTTGTAAAGCCATTACCAGTTCAATTTTCTTATTGTCAAATTGCATCTTATACTTTAATGTATGTGAATATACGTGTACATAATGTATTTCACATGGTTATCATACCAGGTCTAGGAAGTTAACTGAGAGAGCATGATTTTGAAAAGATCTATTCAGAAGACAGACCACTGTCCAGCAAATGAAATGAAAGCCATAGAGAGTCAGAGGGAAAAATCATAGAACTCACATCCTGGAAAATGGCCAAGGGTCTGAAAGGGAAAAGAGCACAGTAGAAATTAGGCAGTGATTAAAGCACAATACAAGCAGCCTGGGAATGTGAGAACTGAACCAGCCAGGGGGTAGGAGCCTCTGGGCCACTTCCCACTCAGGAAATGAAGGACAGCCCGTAAGCTATCAGAGGGCAAGAACTCAGGCTGAGATGTTCACCATTCATCCTTGTTTCTAGAACTTACAGTCCACTCCATATTACAATTTTTTTCTTTCTCTGTGTTTCCTTGTCCACTACTCTAGGCAAATGCACAGCCCACTCCTCAAAGTCATATGTTCAGGGCCAGTTTTACACAGGAACACAGTTCCACTGGTTCCACTTGCCAGGCATTCTGACATTATACAGGTTGATGATCACTCTTTCCATGGTGCGGTTGGACCTTTCCACATGGGCATACATGGGGAAGCCAAGTTTTTTCAGAGCCAGGAACTGCCAATATATAACATGATACATGAGACCCTGGCCCTGGTGCTCAGGCACAGTGCCTGCCATTCGCAACTCTCCAGTGTGGTCCATCAGGGACCAGGACACTGGTGTCCCCTTAGGCCCCAGCAGACAGAAGCTGGGGAACGACCGGATACAGCGCTCGATGAATCTCTGGCTTCTCTCATTCCCACCAAGGTGCCAGAATTGGTTCACCAGAGCAGCGTGGGTAACGTCCAGGGATGAGAGTTTGAACATCTCTTGGTTGCTGTTGGGAAAAAGGGAAAATGGATCACACATATTGTAAAGTATTGTAATTCTTTCTACCTGAAATTTCCCGAATGTCAAACTAGATTATATATAAGGATATGTGCTGTGAAATCTGATGGCTTGGATTTATACCAACATTGCTTATGTGACTGGGATGATTAGTGAATCTCTTCACTCTGTATCCTCATGTAGTAACTAGAGTTAATTAGCATGACTCTTTAGAGAGTCCCTAAGGGACTTCAGTGAGTCTGTGTTTGTTTGTAGACACTTCAAAAAGTATGTGGCAGAGAGGAAACACTACCTGAAAATTATTTAAAATGTATACATTTGACTTTGGCCATAACCAATTTAGATAGATAATTGTAATTATCCTCATTTTACACACAGGAAAATTTTCATAGAAAGTAAGTATCCTAGGTTATATTCCAGCAAACATGAAAACCAGAGCTAGATTGATGGAATTTTAGAATGTTGATGTCTAAGGGTCCTTGTCCATTGTTCTGAACAAATGAGAAGTTAAGTCCAGAGATGGACTGGAGTGTGGAATGTAAATGGCTTTCATCACAAAGCACTGAAGTCTGAAGACTTTGCACATGTTATAAAGGAGCCTTGGAAAAGAGCTCAGGATGTGGGATTTGAGGATGTAATTTCAGACTGTAGTTACATCCTTCACCATGCATGCAGTAATCATCAGTCTGCTTTCTCTCAGAAAATTGAAGATAATGTTTCCTATCCTTTTTGTCTCTTATTTGTAGAAGAGGATCATATGGAATTCGAAACATGGAGGTGTGTTCCATGTTGTAAGTCACTTTGCAGTGTGACTGGAGCTCTCCCAGGAACGAGAACACACAGAGGGCTGTGGATTGAGCACTAGCTTTTAATTCTGTGCAGTATTAGGCTAAAAATTAACCTGGAAAATATATAATTTCTTCAAGTTCTTTTTTTTGAAACATTTTGTTCTATGAAGTGAATTCATTAAGGACGTTAATTAAGCACCAAAATGTGCCAGGCATTGTTTTAGTGTAAAGGATCTATTAGTGAACGTGAGGGAGGGGATTGTTGCATTTGCTGATTTTCAGTATTTTTAGGGGAGGATTCAAATATCAAACAATGAGTTAAATTAATTAGCTCTTTTCAAAAAATCATAAGAATAATCAAGAGAATAAAATAGTGCCATGTGTACAGAATAATTGGGAAGAGATCTATTTTTTCTTTAACTTTATTGGTACTACTTAAATATACATAACCATCACACTCATCAAAGGGAACTTGTACCTAAACATGGTATATCTTTATTCTTTTATCTTTATAGCTTTATAAAGATATCTTTGTACCTTTTTGGGAAGAGATTTAAATGTATGGTTTAGGCAGGATTCTGGTGAGATGACTTTTGAAGAATCCTGATAAAACAAAAATGGTGTCTTGGGTATAAAGATTAAGTGGGATGTTTGTAATATATTGTAAAGGAAACAGAGCCAATTTCCAGGCCTAAGGTGTGCTCATGAAGTAGGAAGAGTGTTAAAAATAACATCAGGCCAGGGCCAGGGGTCTAGCTCAGTCGCACCATGCCTGCCTTGCAAGCGCAAAGTCCTGAGTTCTATCCCTGGTACAAACAACAACAACAAAATAACTTCAGACCATTGTTGTAGACTAAAATTTCAGTTGGCCCCAAGAAGGCAGACTAAAAACCAAAATGAAATCACTCATACTAATCCAGGTCAGCAAGCTGAAAACAAAAACAAAGTGTTGTCTGACGGGGAGAGAGAGAGAGAGAGTCAAAGTATCAGGTTTTTTTCAAGGTTATAATAATAAATATTCTGCGTCAATATTTAAGAAACAGTAACCTTATGTTAACAAATTTTTTTTCATTGTTCCATTTTTCTGTGTTCAGTTTAGAAGAAAAATAACTTGGAAATGGTAATTTTTTTGTTTAGTTGTTTCTGCTTTCAATAGCTTTCTGTAAACCTAACTTCTTTAGTCTAGACTTTAGGAAAACTTACTCTAGTAGAATAAGATGTTGCTTAATTCTAGAATCACAAAAAAAAATAATATTTTTATTTTTTTGTAATGTTTTTTCAGGAAGTGGAAGGTCAGGTATCTTGGAGAGAATAAGTAAGAAAAGAGATGAGTTCTAATACATAGGTGCATGCTGGGTGTTAGATGGCTAAGTAGGAGTTTAGAAGCATTTCAAGGCGAGGTAGAAAGCACTGGAATTTTTTAAGCAGGAGAGGGATATGGTCTACTTTTTATTTTAAAAATAATTAGGTTACTTTTAAGGAAATAGATTAGAAGGAGGCTAGAGCGAGAGGAAGTACAGAAGTTGGAATGTGTAGCAGCTGCAATAGTGGTCCATCAAAAAGATATGTGCACCATCTCAACATAAAATCTTCCTAACTATCTTGTGGGTCATAAACCCAATGGCAAATGTCCTTCCGAGAGTGAAAAGCATGTATACACACAGAGGAGAAGGCCACATAAAAGTAGGTTAGAGACTAGAGTGATACAACAATAGCCCAAAGAACATTTATAGAGGCATCAGAAACTGAAAGAAACAAGGGATTCTTTGATATTAACCAATGAGTTTGAGCATTAAGGCTTCAGAGGGAACATGCCTCTGTCCACACTTTGATTTTGCGCTTCAGGAATTCAAAACAATGAGAAAATTTTCTGTTAAAGCACAAGTTTCTGGTAAAATTTTTGTGGCAGCCCTTAACTAATTTAGGAGGCAAGTTCAGCAGGGACAGGTGTGGATAGTGCAGAGTGGCTTCTATTAAACTTACATGGATGGGGATTCACCACTGTTGGGTGGTAAGTTCTTTGTATCCATCAGGAAAGGAACCAGTTTTTTTGCTGTGTCATTTTCTATGTAGAGAGTGTGCTGTATATACTTGACCTTGGCCATATTAATGTCTGCAAGATTTTCTATTACTTTATTCAGGCTGGGCTGTGAACCTAGATGAAGAAAATGAAGACTCATATGAGATATCATTGTTCATTTAACCTTTTGGAAAAGCTGCCTGATAGAGTTAGAAGGTATATGGACACAGAATAGAAGGTATATGTACATGCATTGTGCTCAGTCATACTATTGATTTTATGTGATAATAGTCACATCACTCCCATACTTTTTGTATTTCAGATTTGGATACTATCCCAGTCTGAATACATCATAGCAGAATTATAACTATTAAGGCAGATGGGGTATACATATAGTGACTAATACTTGGGCATTTTCTGAATTTCTACGCACTCAGTACATCTGTCTTTACATAGTGACCCTAGATTGTTTCTACCTCCCTCATTTGATTTTCTCTTCTGAACTGACTCTGGGCTTAGCCAGGTAACTTGCTTTGATCAATGCCACAAAAGAATTGTGATTCTATAAGAAGCTTTAAAAATGTGCACTGAGGCTTTCCTTCTTTTTCTGCTCCCAGAGACTCTGTGACTTTTATATGTTGCCCAGTCCACTCCCATCATTGCAGTCAATAGCTAACCACAAAAAAACTAATATCAACAGCCAGATTTGGAGTTGTGGCTAACCTAGTCCTACCAGCTCACACAGAATCAATCCTTCAGCTCTCTTTGTCCACATGGCAGAATCTAGGCAAGACCAGCAGAAGAACCACTTGGTTGAGCCTAGTCCAAAGTGCGGAACCACACAATTGTGAGGTCACAGTTGAGTGTAGGTTTAAATTACCACGTTCAGATGGTTTAAAGATATACCTGATAAAACCAAGATTTTGATAATGCATTTTCCATTCAAAGTTCCATTTAATCCTTAAAGAGTCAGTGTTTTGAGTATTATTTTAAGCATTTTCACACTTAAAGGGAACTGATCCACAGAGTTGTTTCTTGCCATTGATCACAGAGTTAAGAAGATGCCAAAGAAAAGTTGTAATCTTGGGTACTCTCATACCAGAGAGCAAATTCTTGTTTACTGAAATACTCCTTTGTGAATCTGATAGTGTAATAGAAGAGATGGAGCAAGGAGGGAAGATTTGATCCCACAGCGGTGTTCTTTGATAGGTCCCGGGCACCTCAGAGAATGAGTCATGAATCATTCACAATTATGCAGTTATATTAATAACAATTTTCCTAATGTAAATGTTGTACACTGCTGTTTCAGTGTTTTCACTATGGGTGTGGTAGCTGCCAAGACATAATACACAGGAGGCTAAGTGTAGAGCTGGGAGGAAAGGTATGTGGAGTGTTGAGTGCCTGTTCGGTGAAAAGTAACCCTACCAACACATACACAAAAGGATTCAGCAACAAGGATACACTCCAGTTCTCTTACTTTGAATCTGCAAATGTTGCTTCCAGTTCATGACTTCTGGGGATCCAAGGAATTCCTGACATTTTGTAGGATTCTTGAAGTAGATTAGGTAAGTGTCGGTGTAGTGATTGAGGTCATTTGTCATTTCCTGTTTGAGTTAAGAAAAGAAATAGCAACCAGAATGTGTGTAGTTGGTGGTAAACATAATGGTACTCAGTATTATATCATTTTGCAGTACCAAATTTAGTACATTTTGTAGGTTTACTGCCTTTAGCTATTACTTATATTGTATAGTCAAGTCAAGGACTTCCTTTTTCAATTACAATAAATAACATCATAAACAAACTATTCCTAATTCAGTTATTGCTTTGAAATTTCAAAGATAAATCCATTTAAAATTATTTTCTACATATTGTTGAAACACAAATAAAGCATAAAATAATAATTGAAAAGCAAAATCTTTATCCATAACAATGTCTGACTCTGAGTTATAAACATGTTATTAAAATCCATACATAAAATAGTATTAGAATGTCCATCTACAAATGGTGAAACCAGTGAAAAAGATGATGCTCTAGTGTCTTTTTTAAAAAAAGAGAATGCCGAATCAGCCCCCTGCACACAGGAAAGTCGGTGCATGCCCTACCGAGGTCCTGAATCACACGGAAGATGCCGAATCACCCCGCTGCAGACAGGCAGGTCTACCCATGCCCTACCCAGGTCCTGAGTCGCACAGAACACGCCCAGTCAGCCCAGTGCAGACAGGTAGGTCTGCCCATGCCCTACCGAGGTCCCCAGTCACGTGGAATACGCTGAATCAGCCCGCTGCACACAGGACGGTCTGTGCATGCCCTACCGAGGTCCAGAGTCACGTGGAAGACACTGAATCACCCCACTGCAGACAGGCAGCCACCTGGTTCCACATTACAAAGACGCAGAGGACACCGGACCACCAGACCAAGGTACTGAGTCCCGCTGTTCCCGGCCCAGAGGTAGGGGCTTCTGAGCCATCGTCCCTCTGCTCCTGGTCCAGAGGAAGGGACTTCCCATTCATCATCCCTCCCGCTGCTCCCAGCCCAGAGGAAAGGGCTTTTGAGCCACCTTCTGTCCCACTGCTCCTGGCCCAGAGGAAGGGGCTTCCAGGCCACC